CCCCCCAGTCAAAAGGGGCTAGTTTCGCCCGAGTTTGATTAACCCATTAAGTGGCAGCACTCTCCCCTTGATGAGTAAAATCGTCCGGTGTGTAAGACAGAGTAAACAGGCCTTAAAATATCTTCTACAGGGCCGTCTGACAAAATGTCTGATTCTCCATTTAACATACGAGCCTCTAGTCCTGGACTAGGTTAATTTTGATTTATGTTGGACAAAGCTACAGTTCGGTTGGACAGCAATACACTCGGGTCGGACAAGCAATAAACCTCAGTTTCACTTAGGTCAGACAGAATGTCCAGTGGTTTCTTCTTTACGTCAGACAATTTCACGAATGGGTCGGGCAATGTCTGTGACCGACCGATATAGTAAAATAATAAGGTGGGGCGCATCAGGTGCATTGCCACATAATAGGTTAAACTAGGCACATATAAATGACATGGAACTTCTTTGGGCATTTCTTAGTTGAAGGCAAACTTGACAAGATGAGGAAAAGCATTCAAACAGCAAAAGGATTGATTACACATTGCTATAGAGGTACCATGATTGAACTACTCAAGGTATGTTCATACAACTTCATTGGTACCGTAGATATTAGAGGTGTGCATCGGATCGGATTGGACGTTTATAATCCAACAATGGACCATTTGCATTATAGACTAAATTTTGATCTAGACAAAAATTTCATCAGCTTGAAAGAGCATCACAAAATTAGTAATATTCCAAAGTTTCGTTGCAAAATGTTGCAAAGTTTGTCGTTTTTCAGTCATTTTGTTTTACGCATGGGAAATTGACAGCCCAATAGGGTGTTGGGGCATCAATTTTCCGTTTGTAATACAAAATGACTGAAAATTGCAAACTTCGCATGGCTATATTATCCGCATTTTACAACATTTCGCAACGAAACTTTGGAATATTACTAATTTTGTAATGCTCTTTCAAGCTGTGATAAAACTTTTGTCTAATCAAAATTTAGTCTATAATGCAAATGGTCCATTGCCTAATGTTTAAAATCCGATCCGAAATTGTCTAATCCGAATCCAATCCGAGTTTTGATAAAGAATTCCGATCCGAAGAATTCTTTAATAAAATAAATTTCTCATTCAAGTTGAAATATTTAACCAAATAAATATAAAAGCAAGAAATACATGTCAAGAAGCTGACAAAGTGACGTCCAATTGAAGTTATTATCAAACGAATTATGCAGCGACAACCGCGATAATGCTTTGATAAATGCATGGATAATTAATTCTTGCGATAATGCGTGGATAATTCATTTTATTTCGGATATCGAAGTCCTATCCGACTACAAAACAACTTTATCAATCCGATCCGAAATGAATATTCAGGGTTTTTTTCCGGATGTTCTCTTGGGTCCGTTTTTGCAGAGAAGATTGAGTTTAGCTGAACAGCTGGGGTGGCTGC